TAGGGAGCAGTAATCTACCTGCTCCCTGTAGTGATGCTGGGGCTGGAATTACTTCATATTCCGGGCTCCCAGCATCATTATACAGTGCAAGGGAGCAAAGAGGAGATGCAGGAAGATCACTTCTAACCCGTGTGTGCACGTGCTTCCTCTGCCGACCATCTTGATACTCCCCAGGCCGGCCGGCTACAATACTCCCTAAGCTAGACGTCTCCATGCTCCCGGGGCGGGCGGCTACAATGCTCCAAGTCCCCCATCTCCATGCTCCCCAGGAGAGCTAAAGGGCTGACAAATTCCAGGTGCCAGGGCAAAATTTCTAGTCGCCATGGTGACCTGGGATTTGTCGAGCCCTGTCCTATATCGTCCCTCTGCCTTTGCCCCCCCTCCCCCCGCCACCTTCCCAGCAGTCACGAAAGGGTTAAAACCCCTTTCCCCTCCATTTATCTGATTCCAGCACCGATGGATCGGGCTCCTCTTTCAGCAATATTACAGGCTATCCACAAACATAATGCACATGTGCGGCAAACGACACGCACACTATAGCTTGCCATAGGAAAGCACTGAATCAATGCTATCCTATGGTGGTTTTCAAGGCAAAGGACATCCGCATCCAAACTGTGAGGACATCCAGCGTCGTTTAAACTACAGGAAGCACCTAAAGTGGCTGTCTGAAAGACAGACACTAGAGGCAGAATTACCGTATGTGATTAAAAAGTCACCCAGACAACTTAATCTCAATTGCCATGTCCTTTCAATTCTGCAATGTGAAACATTGCATTTTTTTGTAGAAAAAAAATCCATCTCTAGAGGATGTTTTCCTGACAGCCACTAAAGGTGTTTCCGCTGCACTGCCCAAGTGAAACTGTCACGTGATGCAGAGGCCCACCGGAAGGCATTGAATATATAGGAAAGCTTGGATGAGCATTAGTTCTCCAATGCTGGACCATCGCAGGAGGGCATGCCTCTATAATGGAGGTGGAGAGGGGAGTGCTGTGCTGGCTATGGTGCCAAGAATGTAAGCACCACTTCTGGTTTCATGAATTTTTATTACACAAGGGCACCTGTATAGAACTAGGGACAGGAACACTATAGCATTAGGGACAACTTCAGGAGTGTTCCTTTAATACTAAAAAAAAAGTACTGCCAGTATGAAATATCATTAGGAGTGTGTACATTTCCAATGCATATGTCAGTGCAGCAGCTAAAGCATCAGCATTGCCCCCCATCTCATCTGACAAAGAGGTCAAGTACAATAAGTAAACCACCACCAAAAGCTGTTCAAAACGAAGTCATTCTGAAGTGAAGCAAATCATGGTATGACGCACTGGTCCCTATCCATTTTTATTTTTTTAAAACAGATGTATACCAAAAATTGCTATACATTATAAACTTAAGTAATGTAAAATAAATCTTAACTATATCTACAGAATGTACATTTTATCTTGGCCACGTGTCAATTATTACATATACAAAAGTGTTTTCACTAATTCAGCTTGTTTTCCCCTGGAAATAGAACACCCCAACACCAATAGTAAACTCGTGGTTCTATAGCAGGCTTCCCCAAACTCCGGCCCTCCAGACGTTGCTGAACTACAACTCCGATGATTCTCAGCCTATTTCATTCATAGAATCAAGAGAGTTGTAGTTCAGCAACTTCTGGAGGGCCAGAGTATTGGGAAGCCTGTTCTATAGCTTCACTTTTCCAATCACAATCAGTGCCCAAGCCATGAGCTGAGGAACACACTGTCACCAACACCCACCTCTCACTTCCTGTGCACAGTTATTTATCTCCCACACTTTCCATCTATCTCCAATCACTCTTAACATTTGGCCAACCTGCTAGCTCTTTCAATGGCAGCAATGGATACTGTGTTCACGTTAATTCCAAGTCACACAAGTTCTTTACACATTGCAATACTCTATATAATCAGAGCTGGCCGAGCCCTGCATTCGATGTACACAATACAACATAGCAGCAGCAGTCACTGTCTGCCATCCCAGCAGCACATGGAGCACTGCTCTCTGTATTGCAGTGTGATAGCTCGATATCAGGGACACTGTCATAGAAAACATTTTGTCACTGCAACTGCAGCTGGACTACATTTCCCGAGATGCCTTGCTCGCCAAGTGCCATTACTGCAGTAGCTCCCAGTGCCCCCCATTGTGAGCTCCCCATTACTGTGCTCTCACCCCTCCACCAGTAGGTCTGGGACAGGTTGTGCCATGTCTGATGCCGGGTCAGGTGCTCCCCTCCCGCCCCGGTGTGCGCCGCTTCTATCAGCCCCTTCCTGCGCTCGGGCTGCAGCACCACCTCCAGCTCGGTGAAGCGCTCTTTGTCCCGCTGCCGCCGCTGGTAGTACAGGGTCCCGGATTGCACCACGTAGCAGGCGGCGGCCTTGCGGATCTTGCGCTTGACATTGCCCTCGGTGCCCGGAGCGTAGGGCTCCCGCTCGTTGGTCAGATAGCGCAGGATGGCCAGGTAGCTCTCCTCGCTGGACATGGCGGACAGCGCGGGGCCCCACCGGCCTCCCTGGAGGCGCAGGCCGCGCTCTGTATCCGGGCGGCGGGCTCGGTGCTCCCCCTGGATAGCGGCTGACAGCTACACGGGGAACTGCTGGGCTCGGAACGCCCGGTGAGCAGCTTCGCGGAAACACAAAATGGCTGCTGCACCAGCGGAAGTGACGTCATGCGAGTCTCGGCGTGGATGCAATGTAGGCAGAGAGAACGCAGAGAGACTCAGAGAGAAGGAGGAGAGCAACGTGCCGGGGGTAAGAGCAGCCATGCCGCCATAACCGACTGTCCGGGGGGAGCATGGCGGCCTGCTACACGCTGTATGAATGGTGTTGGGTACATGTTCCCTAATGCACAGCCTGTGTGTGGGTTCACGTGCTGTTTTTGGGGAGCATTTCTATAGTATAGTCAGTCCCTGCAGGCTTTTTAAAGTGAAACTCCAGTGGCACTGCAGGTCCCCTCCCACCCCCCAATCTCCGGTTGCTGAAGGGGTGAAAACCGTCGCTGCTTCTTACGCCGCGCCGCTCCTCCCTCTGATTGCGTCGGCCGGTGGACGAGACTGTTCCCACTCACCGGCCGGGAGACCTAATGCGCATGCACGACATTCAATGCTTTCCTATGGGGAAATGAGGGCTGGAGGTACTCACACAGCGTGAGGACGTCCAGTGATGCTATGGACCAGGAAGTGCCCTCTAGTGGCTGTCTAGTAGACAGCCAGTAGAGGTGGAGTTAACCCTGCAAGGTAATTATTGCAGATTATGAAAAACTGCAATAATTACACTTGCAATGGGCAGAAGTGGTCTGGGTGCCTGGAGTGTCCCTTTAATATAAACACTGCTTTTTCTGGAAAAACAAGGCATTGTTTACATTACTGCCTAGGGATACCTGTAATCAGTGGCGTACACATGACCCATGTGGTCCCGGTGCAAAAAATTGATCCGTGGCCCCCCCTGCGCTTACTCGACAAGGGTCGGGGCCGCAACACATGGCGGTGGGCACCTGGTCACAGGGCTGCGACCGCGTCATGCTGCACACACACCTAAAGGATCACTACAGACACCCAGATCACATCAGCTCAATGAAGTGGTCTGGGTGCCAGGTCCCTCTAGTTTTAACCCTGCAGCTGACAACATAGCTGTTTCAGAGAAACGGCTATGTTTCACTGAGGGTTAATCCAGCCTCTAGTGGCTGTCTCATTGACAGCCGCTAGAAGAGATTCCGCTATTCTCACTGTGAAAATCACAGAAAGAAGACACTGAACGTCCATAGGAAAGCATTGAGTAATGCTTTCCTATGGGCGGTTTAAATGCGCGCGCGCCTCTTGCCGCGCATGTGCATTAGGAGCTGAGAGGCGGAGGGATCCCCAGCGCCAAGGAAGTCCGGCGCTGGAGGAAGGTAAATGCTGAAGACACACACTCTCACGAACAGACGCATACACACTAGCTAACAGACACACACATTTACTGACAGAGACACACTCAGTGACAGACATACATACACACTCACAAAACATACACTTTCACTGACAAACACACACTAACAGACATCAGACACACTCAGTAACAGACACACCCAATAAGACACACTAACACACACACACTAACACATCATTTTTTTTTTTTTAAATGTAATCTCCCAGCCTCCTTACCTTTTGGAGTGCTGGGGGGATTCCCTGGGGTCCAGTGGTGGTGCTGCTGGGCTCCTGGGTGGGCATCTGACGTCATCTTCCAGCTCTGGTATCAGTGCGGTGCGCGAGGGAGCTGAAGAGGAAGCACTCAGGGGAGAGTGCTCCCTCGCGCGCCGGCCACCCAGACAGCCAGCCCACCGGGGTCAGCAGGGCCAGCCTAGGGGGGACCTGGGGTTGCCGGCTCCTTGGCCCCCCAGGCGAAGATGCTGGCCCTGTGGGTACAGCCTCGACCCCGGTATGTACGCCACTGCCTGTAATGGAAATCATTCATACGGCCACTGGAGTGGCTTCCTGGGCCAGTGCAGTACTGGCATTCAGTGTCTCCATGCATTGCATGGAGGCGCTGAAGGTTCCCCATAGAGATTCATTTATTTTATGCGTCTTCTGCGCAATAGCCTCCCAGTGCTTGGATTTGCTGAGATCATCTCTAGATAGATGATCTCAGCTGTGAAGGTGGAGTCAGGTGGGGCAAGACTGGCAATGCATGATAACAAAAGGTTAGTAAAATCACCTTTTATTTACACAGAGAGGGGGGTCGATGACCTAAACGTTTATTCCTACTCTATAGGAATACATATTTAAAGTCACAATGTTCTTGTCCTGTAAACACATAATGTTGTAAAACTGTGGGTTATTGTTCCCCATCCCCGCCCTTTCTTCCTCCAGTGATATCACTCCCTCTGATTTAACATTACCAACCTGCAACTTTCACTCGGGGCTGTTATTTAAGCGGCACAAACAGATTCCAAACATCATGACCACTTCAACTCATTGAAGTGTTCATGTTGCTTATAGTAATTATTTAACTCTTTCTGGATGTAAGGGTGTGCTATGCGGTCCTACAAAAGGAGGGCTTTAACGCTGTTAGGGCAGCATAACATTCCTAATGATTGGGCCCTTGTTCTATCATTCTGCTATACCCCGTCAGATTTCTATACCCCCGTCACTTCCGGGGAGGGGAATCAGCTGGATCCTTTGCTGCACATGCCTCACTTAACCCTAAATGCCCTGTGTGCCTAAGCTTAGTGAATGCACTAACTATAATGAAAGTGTAAAACTAGTTTTACTTACCTTCCAGGACCTTGCTGTGGAGGAGTAGCAGGAGTGCTAGCAGGCATGTGCAGCACAGGATCCAGCTGATTCCCCTCCCCGGAAGTGACGGGGTATAGAAATCTGACGGAGTATAGCAGAATGATAGAACACCCTCTCTCCAGTATCTATACTTACTGTCATGTGATAGTGGTGACATCATGATTGGTTTCGAACTTGTACAATTGCCTCCATCCTTAAGGGGCTAACAGATATCAATAAGTATTTGTTGTAAATTTTTTGTTATTCAGGGGAGACTCGTTTTTCCAATGGTTTCAAATTATGTATTGTTTCGATCTTAGCTTTATGTAAATTAGAAACCACCATCTCTGAACTTTCTGAGTACTGGAGGGGAAAAGCATGCTTCTTACACTGAAATAAGTTGTAAAAGCTTGTTTTAAAACTGTGGAAATTACTCACTGTTGTAACTGTTTAACATTTTTATTTAACTTACACTGCTCCATCAAAAACATAACTAATAACAGGAACCATTTCCCCCTTTTTTTTAGTTTGCTATCATTATTCAATATGTCAACACAAATTAAGGACAAAGAAGCTTTTCAACGAATCAATTTTCTATACCAGGTAATTATAGATTATAGTTAAACTACTACTGTACATTTGTATGTGTTTAATTTCAGTAGTCATTTTACTACCAGTTGCATGATAATCAAAATTAAAACCCAAACACATTTCCTATTCAGCTTATTGGCTACATTAATTAATTTTCATGTGCTACAACTACTTTAACACTGTAGGGTGGCCACCTGTGCTCCCTGTGGTGACATTCTGTCATTAAACTAATATGGTGGCCAGGGGTCATGTGACCAATCTCACGTATGCCTTTCTTACAGGGGGATAAGCTTTACCCTTTGATATGGTAATTGGGTAATTCTTTCTTTCTAATACTTTTTATTGAAAAATTTTGTTTTAAAGGACCACTCTAGGCACCCAGACCACTTCAGCTTAATGAAGTGGTCTGGGTGCCAGGTCCTTCTAGGGTTAACCCACTTTTTCATAATTATAGCAGTTTCAGAGAAACTGCTATAATTATGAATGGGTTAAGCCTTCCCCCTAATCCTCTAGTGGTTGTCTCATTGACAGCCACTAGAGGCGCTTGCGTGCTTCTCACTGTGATTTTCACAGTGAGAGCACGCAAGCGCTCATAGGAAAGCATTGTAAATGCTTTCCTGTGAGATCGCTGAATGCGCCGGTAGCAAGCCGCTGGTATTCAGGCCGGGGCGGGGGCGAACGGAGGGGCGTGAGAGGAGGGAAGAGCTCTCCCCGCGGCGTGGAAAAAGTTTTTTACCCCTTTCCCCCTTCCAGAGCCGGCGGTAGGGGGTCCCTGAGGGTGGGGCACCCTCAGGGCACTATAGTGCCAGGAAAACGAGTATGTTTTCCTGGCACTATAGTGGTCCTTTAAGATAACAAATAATCACATTAATACATACATACATACACACCTAATTAAATCCGACCAATACAAATAAATCTTTTTGATGGAAAGAAAAAAACTTTCATTGAGATATATCAATCGGTCAAAAAAAACCACAAAAAAAAACCTGGAAGTTGACAATATTACATTTAATCCATCAATGATAATAAGAGGTGTATCAATGGGAGTAGGCACGGGTTTACATACATATTACAGTAGATAATAGATAGAGATTACAAATACATATTAACCGTGAGAGTTCCATTTCCCACATAGGATTTTATCTTTCTTAAACACAATGCCTGAGAAATTTATCAATTGCCATATAATAAAGAACAGTTTTTTAACCAAGTAGAATACCAATCCCTTTTTTTTGAAAACACTAACCGATTTTTTTTTATCATTTCGTTTTCCATTGTCAATTGAAATTTAATTTGGTTAATTAGAGAGATTTTCTGAAAAGGAACAGAGGATTTCCACTGTCTAGCTATAATGATTTTAACTGCAATGAAGCAGTGAATTGCTAAACAAATATATTTACTTGATTTAAAAGGCAAATTGAGATGGAGGAGGGCCGATACTGGGTCTATATTTATATCTTTAAATGATACCTCTTTCATAGATATTTCAGAAAAGATATTATAGGTCCAAGCCCATAGTGGTTTTGCTGCTGGGCAGAACCACCAGATATGAATATATGTACCCAGATAGGTACCACATCTCCAACAAGTAGGATCTTGAGAAGAATACATTTTAGCTAATCTTGTCCGGGTGTAGTACCATCTATAGAGTAACTTAAAATGACACTCAGTCAAGTTTAGACCATGAACAAATTTGTTTACTAGAATTATAGAAGAGTACCATTCCTTTGGGGAAATAACTAAATTTAGATCCTTTTCCCAGGATTTAACCAATTTATAGGGAAAGGTGTCTGAACCTTTAAACAGCATATTAGCCACCGAAACAACTTTGGGTATAGTTTTAAATGAGAAAAGAATTTGTAGCTCTTTAGCCCGAGGAAAAGAAGATTGAATAACATGTTTCTGAATATAGTGTTTAATGCGAAAATAAGTAAATAATTCTTTAGATGGAATATGGAAATTATCCACGATCTGTTGAAATGGTAAGATATCATCGCCCTGCATAATATCCGATAAAGTTAGTATATCTTTATTGGGCCAGTGTCTCAGTGATAGATCCTCTACATTATTTTCTAATAAATTTAATTTACATGTTTTGGGAATTGAGTAACTTACACCCAAAATTTTTCTGATTTCAACCCATGTTTCCAAAGAGTGAGCCAGCGATATTAAGCCATTAGGCAAATCCGTTAGAAACCTCACAGGATCTGACCATATATATGGATGAAGAGCAGATACATGTAGCGCTTCAGACTCCAATATATACCAAGGTTCAGAAAAGAAAAAAAAGGTTCTTGTAAAATATATATATATGTCGTATAGTATTGGCATAGTATAAGTTAGTGATATTTGGATAATTTAGCCCTCCCTTAGAGAGTTTGTTGTAAATATATTTTTGACTTATTCTGGGCTTTTTATTTTTCCAAATAAATTTATTTATGGCAGATTGTATCATATAAAGCCACATCTTAGGGATTTTAAGGGGAACCATTGATAACAAATAAGACCATTTTGGTAAAATATAAGAGTTGATAATGTTAATTCTACCTATCCATAGTGTTTCTAAATTTTTCCATTTTTTTAGGTTTTGATTCATTTCCTTCATTAACTGCATAACGTTCCTCTCCATTATTTGGGAAGCATTAGCCGGAAAGCTAAGGCCCAAATAATTTATTTCTGAGTCTGTCCAAATAAACTGATATTTTTGAGATAGCCTTTCAACCTGAGTGAAGGGTAAATTAATAGTTAAAGCAGTAGATTTAGAGACATTTAACTTGAAATTAGAGATATTAGAAAAATTGACAATTTCTTCCATTAATGATGCCAATGAATCTTCTGGAGATGTAAGGGTTACCAGAGCGTCATCGGCATACAATGCAATCTTAATATCTTGAGATTTCGTAGGAACACCCTTTATTAACTGATTGTTCCTAATGTTTATCGCAAGAGGCTCAAGAGATAAGATGTAGAGAAGCGGTGACAAAGGACATCCCTGTTTTGTACCGTTTTTAAGATCGAAGTAATATTAGGACCTACAGTTCTGGCTGAAGGGTCAGAGTATAATATAATTGCGGTGTAAATCCAACCCGTAAAGCCGTATGCATTGAGAAGTTCACTTAAATAGCCCCACCCAACCCTGTCGAACGCTTTTTCTGCGTCCAAAGACAGGACCAGGAGGGGCTCTTTATTGGCATTGACAAGACTAATACTATCTATAAGCTTTCGAGTGTTATTTGATGCCCATCTTCCTGGGATAAACCCTATTTGATCAGGATGAATAAGTTTAGAAATAACCCTTTTCAGTCTCTCAGCTATAATAGCTGAATAGATTTTCATGTCAACATTAATTAATGCAATTGGTCTATAGTTTTTTGGGTCCGTACTATCTTTATCCGGTTTTAAAATGGGAACAATGTTTGATTGTAGTAATTCCTTTGGGATGATCTCACTTTCTGCTGCTTGATTAAACATTTCAGTAAGAGGTTTTAAAAGATAAGGTTTCATATATTTATAATAAAGATTTGAAAAACCATCAGGACCAGGAGTTTTGTTTATAGCTAATCTATCAATTTGAAATTGCACTTCCTCCATATAAATTTTTTTATTCAGAATGGTCTGATCCTGGGAAGAAATTCTCGGAATTCGAGACTTTAATAGAAAACTCTTAATGTCCTTTATTTCTGGGGATAGCCTTAAATTGTATAGATCTTGGTAAAATTGATTAAACTTTTGAATAACAATATATCTAAAATATAAAAGCGCTAAGCATATAACTCTGTATACACAGATGAGGTGGCAGAAAAAAATGTGAAAAGTTTCTGTACCACCTTCAAAATGTTAAACACCTCTATTACATGGTTAAATTCAAAAAAGCTGCTACACACCTGTGTGAACCCAAATCCCACACCAAAAATCAAACAAAATACTTATATAGGTGGAGCGCAAAATCAAATCCACATTTCCATGGAATCCTTTACACAGCTTCAACTCAGATGAATATAAAAAAGATAAAATGCATATAATAGTGAAGTACAGTTATGGTAAATTGCAAATATTTAATAATCGTTTCACTAGACATAAAACACTCCTAGCAATAAAAATAATAAATCAAAATCAATATTGTACAAAATACATAAATAAATTTACATGAATTAAATGAAATAGACAATGAGCCTCTTACAGGATAGAAATAAGTGAGTGTATGCAGTCCCAGCTGCTACTCACTAACGCTGTATAATTGCCTTAGTCCAGGCACAGGGTTGACAGGCAGCCGGCTTCTCTCTTGTCTCCTCCACGGATATCGTAGAGAGAGCGGGCCGCTGAAAGATCCTAGGTGCCGGTCTGGGGTTCTCTGAGCTTCCCGGGTGCTCCGCCCCTTTTGCGTCACTCCGTAACAGGCGTGCGTCACTGCGTCGTCTACGCGTTTCGCCGAAGCTTCCTCAGGACACAAAGCAGTGATGCTGACTTGTCTCACTAGTCCACTATTTAAAGCGATCCTTTCGCTTCCTATTGGATTCCTAATAATAGTGTCTCTTATACAGGTGTGTTAAGACCATGCAGTCTCTACTTAACTCCATAGTTACCTATACTAAATAGACATATTTATGCAAATATCATAGGGACATTTAAACATTTAAACATTAAATATATTATTAACAAACATTTCTCAATCTTATTCCACCATACCTGGTTTTAAGAGAAGAG